AGGGAGGACCAGGGTACAGGGGGTAGGGAGGACCAGGGTACAGGAGGAAAGGGAGGACCAGGGTACAGGAGGGAAGGGAGGACCAGGGCACAGGAAGGTAGGGAGGACCAGGGTACAGGAGGGAAGGGAGGACCAGGGTACAGGAGGGTAGGGAGGACCAGGGTACAGGAGGGAAGGGAGGACCAGGGTACAGGAGGGTAGGGAGGACCAGGGTACAGGAAAGGAGTAGGAGGAAACCCGGGACAGGGAAAGGAAGGGGGAGGACCAGGGTACAGGAGGGTAGGGAGGGCCAGGGACAGGGGGGTAGGGAGGACCAGGGTACAGGGGGGGAAGGGAGGACAGGGTACAGGAGGGGGAAAGGGGGGACCAGGGGAAGGGGGGTAGGAGGACCAGGGTAAAAGGGAGGGAAGGGAGGACCAGGGTACAGGAGGGTAGGGAGGACCAGGGTACAGGGGGGTAGGGAGGACCAGGGTACAGGAGGGAAGGGAGGACCAGGGTACAGGAGGGAAGGGAGGACCAGGGTACAGGAGGGAAGGGAGGACCAGGGTACAGGAAGGTAGGGATGACCAGGGCACAGGAGGGAAGGGAGGACCAGGGTACAGGAGGGTAGGGAGGACCAGGGTACAGGAGGGTAGGGAGGACCAGGGTACAGGAAGGTAGGGAGGACCAGGGTACAGGAAGGTAGGGAGGACCAGGGTACAGGAAGGTAGGGAGGACCAGGGTACAGGAAGGTAGGGAGGACCAGGGTACAGGAGGGAAGGGAGGACCAGGGTACAGGAAGGGTAGGGATGACCAGGGTACAGGAAGGGAGGGAGGACCAGGTACAGGAGGGTAGGGGACCAGGGGACAGGAAGGTAGGGAGGACCAGGGTACAGGGAAAGGGAGGGAGACCAGGTACAGGAAGGTAGGGAAACCAGGTACAGGAGGGAGGGAGGACCAGGTACAGAAGGTAGGGAGGGCCAGGGTACAGGAGGGTAGGGAGGACCAGGGTACAGGAGGGTAGGGAGGGCCAGGGTACAGGAGGGAAGGGGGGAAACCCGGGGACAGGAGGGTAGGGAGGGGGCCAGGTACAGGGGTAGGGAGGACCAGGGTACAGGAGGGAAGGGGGGACCAGGTACAGGAGGGAAGGGAGGACCAGGGTACAGGAGGGAAGGGAGGACCAGGGGAGAGGGGGGAAGGGACGACCAGGGTACAGGAAGGTAGGGAAGACCAGGGTACAGGAGGGAGGGAGGACCAGGGTACTGGAGGGATGAGAGACCAGGGGACAGTAGGGTAGGGAGGATCAGGCACAGGAGGTAGGAGGACCAGGGTACAGGAGGGGACGGAGGACCAGGGTAACAGGAGGAAGGAGGACCAGGGTACCGGAGGGTAGAGGACCCAAAGGGGAACAGGAAGGGTAGGGAAAACCAGGAACAGGAGGGTAGGAGGACCATCGTACTGGAGGGAGGACCAGGGTACAGGAGGTAGGGAGGAACAGGGTACAGGAGAGTAGGGAGGAACCAGGTACAGGAGGGGAGGGAGACCAGGGGACAGGGGGTAGGGAGACCAGGGGACAGAGGAAAGGGAGGACCAGGGTACAGGGGGAAGGGAGGACCAAGGCACAGGAAAGGGAGGGAGGAAACCCGGTACAGGAGGGAAGGGAGGACCAGGGGACAGGAGGGTAGGGAGGACCAGGGTACAGGAGGGAAGGGAGGACCAGGGTACAGGAGGGTAGGGAGGACCAGGGTACAGGAAGGTAGGGAGGACCAGGGTACAGGATGGAAGGGAGGACCAGGGTACAGGAGGGTAGGGAGGACCAGGGTACAGGAGGGTAGGGAGGACCAGGGTACAGGGTTGAAGGAGGACAGGTACAGGAGGGAAAGGGAGACCAGGGTACAGGAGGGTAGGGAGGACCAGGGTACAGGAGGAAGGGAGGACCAGGTACAGGAGGGTAGGGAGGACCAGGTAAAAAGGGGGTAGGGAGGGCCAGGGGACAGGAGGGAGTGGAGGAACCAGGGGACAGGAGGAAGGGAGGACCAGGGTCAGGAGGGAAGGGAGGACCAGGTTCAGGAAGGTAGGGAGACCAGGGTACAGGAGGGAAGGGAGGACCAGGGTACAGGAGGGTAGGGAGGACCAGGGTACAGGAGGGTAGGGAGGACCAGGGTACAGGAAGGTAGGGAGGACCAGGGTACAGGAAGGTAGGGAGGACCAGGTAAAAGGGAAGGTAGGGAGGACCAGGGTACAGGAAGGTAGGGAGGACCAGGGTACAGGAGGGAAGGGAGGACCAGGGTACAGGAAGGTAGGGATGACCAGGGTACAGGAAGGTAGGGAGGACCAGGGTACAGGAGGGTAGGGAGGACCAGGGTACAGGAAGGTAGGGAGGACCAGGGTACAGGAAGGTAGGGAGGACCAGGGTACAGGAAGGTAGGGAGAACCAGGGTACAGGAGGGTAGGGAGGACCAGGGTACAGGAAGGTAGGGGAGGACCAGGGTACAGGAGGGTAGGGAGACCGGGGAACAGGAAGGTAGGGGTGACCAGGTACAGGGAAGGTAGGGAGGACCAGGGTACAGGAAGGTAGGGATGACCAGGGTACAGGAAGGTAGGGATGACCAGGGTACAGGAAGGTAGGGAGGACCAGGGTACAGGAGGGTAGGGAGGACCAGGGGAAAAGAAGGTAGGGAGGGCCAGTACAGGAAGGTAGGGAGGGCCAGGGTACAGAAGGTAGGGAGGCAGGGGACAGGAGGGTAGGGCGGACCAGGGTAACAGGAAGGTAGGAGGACCAGGTACAGGAGGGTAGGGAGGACCAGGGGACAGTAAGGTAGGAGGACCGGGTACAGGAGGGTAGGGAGGACCAGGGGACAGAAGGTAGGAAGGACCAGGGTACAGAAGGTAGGGAGGACCAGGGTAAAAGGAGGGTAGGGAGGGCCAGGGTACAGGAAGGGAGGGAGACCAGGGTACAGGAAGGTAGGGAGGACCAGGGTACAGGAGGGTAGGGATGACCAGGGTACAGGAAGGTAGGGAGGACCAGGGTACAGGAAGGTAGGGATGACCAGGGTATAGGAAGGTAGGGATACCAGGGTACAGAAGGTAGGGAGGACCAGGTACAGGAGGTAGGAGGACCAGGTACAGGAGGGGAGGGAGGACCAGGGGACAGGGAAAGGGAGGGGGGACCAGGGGACAGGAAGGTTGGGAGGACAAAGGGGACAGGAAGGTAGGGATGACCAGGGTACAGGGAAAGGGAGGGAGGACCAGGGGACAGGAGGTAGGAGGAAACCCGGGTACAGGAGGGTAGGAGGACCAGGGTACAGAAGGTAGGAGGGCCAGGTACAGGAAGGTTGGAGGACCAGGTACAGGAAAAGGGAGGGAGGGCCAGGTAAAAGGAAGGTAGGAGGACAAGGGTACAGGAGGGAAGGAGGACCAGGGTACAGGAGGTAGGGAGGACCCCGGGTACAGGGAAAGGGAGGGAAAGGGCCAGGGGAAAGGTAGGTAGGAGGGACCAGGTACAGGAGGGTCGGGAGGACCAGGGTACAGGGAAAGGGAGGATGAGCAGGGTACAGGAAAGGGAGGGAGGGCCAGGTACAGGAGGGTAGGGAGGACCAGGGTACAGGAAGGTAGGGAGGACCCTGGGAAAAGGAAGGTAGGGATGACCAGGGAAAAGGAAAGGGAGGGATGACCAGGGTAAAAGGAAGGTAGGGAGGACCAGGGTACAGGAGGGTAGGGAGGACCAGGTACAGGAGGGTAGGGGGGACCAGGGTACAGGGAAAGGGAGGGAGGACCAGGGTACAGGAAGTAAGGGGACCAGGGTACAGGAAGGTAGGAGGACCAGGTACAGGAAGGTAGGGAGACCAGGTACAGGAAAGGTAGGGAGGACCAGGGTACAGGAAGGTAGGGAGGACCAGGGTACAGGAAGGTAGGGAGGACCAGGTACAGGGAAAAGGGGGGGGAGACCAGGGTACAGGAAGGTAAAGGGGGGACCAGGTACAGGAAGGTAGGGAGGACCAGGGTACAGGAGGGAAGGGAGGACCAGGTACAGGAGGGTAGGGAGGACCAGGGTAAGGGAAAGGGAGAAAAGGGCAGAGTACAGGAAGGTAGGGAGACGCAGGTACAGGAGGGTCGGGAGGACCAGGGTACAGGAAGGTAGGGATGACCAGGGTACAGGAAGGTAGGGAGGGCCAGGTACAGGAGGGTAGGGGGGAACCAGGTACAGAAGGTAGGGGGGACCAGTGTAAACAGAAGGTAGATGACCAGGGGACAGGAAGGTAAAGGGGGGACCCGGGTTTCAGGGGGGTAGGGAGACCAGGGGACAGGAAGGTAGGGAGGACCAGGGTACAGGAAGTAAGGAGGACCAGGGTACAGGAAGGTAGGGAGGACCAGGGTACAGGAAGGTAGGGAGGACCAGGGTACAGGAAGGTAGGGAGGACCAGGGTACAGGAAGGTTGGGAGGACCAGGGTACAGGAAGGTAGGGAGGACGAGGGTACAGTACAGGAGGGGAAGGAGAAATGTCTGTAGTGGTTTCTCTGGGGTAAAGGGTGTTTCTGGGGGGGGGAGGGGGAACTTGAGAACTGATATACGGAAGCTATTGTTTACGGAGGGTGGAGAATGTGGTTAATTGTGACAGATTGTAGCTAATCAAGATAACAAGAGTGTGTGTGTATGTGCGTTTATCTAGGTATCTGAAGTTAATCTCCAGCTTCTGGTCCATGTATGCGTATACAGTGAGACTAGGAGTAAATATATTTCGTTAAATGTGTATCTCCTTGAGGCGTGGAAGAGCCAGGGAACGAGTAAAGATAGGATAAGCAAGACAAGTTATTAACTGTGAACAGGAAAGGAGGAAGTAGCCTGGAATATTGTACATGGTATCAACTAGGCTCTGTCCTCTCCGTTCATTGATCAGGGACACTCCAGTGTATTCACTATACGCCCCATCTCCTCCTCCCGGCCCAGGAACTAGATACCCACCATCACCACACCTGACTATCTCCCCCCTCAGACACATACCTGTCTCTCTTCTCTGCAGATACACGCAGGGCCAGGAACTGGGTCTCGACTCCCCTCGAATACAAGCTCGATGAGTAACAGACACCTGGGTCTCTTTTCCACAGACATACGGAGTCACTGTCACCCACAGAAGACACAGCAAACAGAGATCTCAGTGTTTTCCTCTAAGAATACTGTCAGGTGTCAGCAGCGTCAATGAAGCGTCAATATAGCAACTTGACTTGCGGTTGATGTGCTGCTTCACACATGTAAGACCATAACAAGATTACCTGCGGTTGAAGTATACCAGCAACACTGTTTTGACCTCCAGTACACCCTGGTCATCCTTGTAACCTTCAACACGCACACTACCGTCACTTACCGTCACCCCCACCACCATGACCAGACACGACCCTCCTGCAGGAATCATGGACTACAACAGTGTTCACGACCACAAGAACCAGTCACATACATACCCTTCACAGAGTAAGCATTATCTACCATTTATTAAATTTATATATATATATATATATAATATATATATATATATATATATATATATATATATATATATATATATATATATAATTTATATATATATAATGAGAAATGTTTGTAGTGTATACTAGGCAAGTCATATGGAAGAATTCCTATTGTGTTATCGGACAGATGTAAATTAGTATTACAGAGAAGTAATGTGGCTTATGGAAGGAGAGAGGAAAAAGTGGAACAATATTTGAGCTAAAATATATATACAAAAAATATCTCTAAAAATAAATACGTATAAACTATTTATACAACGTTTGGCTTGTGTTGCAGGATTGTTCAAGTTGGATCAGACTTGAACAATCCTGCTGCTTCTAGTATGTATCAATATCTCGGTATTTCCATAGCATCTATTATTTCAGTTAGGCTATGCTTGTTGTACTGATGGACTGGGGAAGACATAGGCTAAGGAAGATACGGAACCGATGTGACTAGTATTGCAAATATATGGAATACGTGGTAGGTCGTTGAAAACTATGAGCCATTTATAAGAGTAGAACGAGGCTCAGGTCAGGGCGGGTAGGAGAGAAGGGAAAGAAAAATTTGTTGAGGAGAGGTGCAGCCTAATAAGGTAACTGATATAAATTGGGAGTTGACATCTCAGTTGCTCTTCGCTGATGACAGTTTTTTAAAATAAATAACAAAAAGGCACAATACCGTGACTGGAACAATACACAAATAACCCGCACATAAAAGAGAGAAGCTTACGACGACGTGTGACTTTGTCAATGGTCCAAGTCGGACCGAAACGTCGTCGTAAGCTTCTCTCTTTTATGTGCGGGTTATTTGTGTATGGACAGTTTTTTACAAGCTTTAGATAAGAAATTGTAAAAAAAAATGATGAAAGAATTTGGAAATTGGTGAACAGAAAGTTGAAAATGAATACAGAAAACACCATTGTGATGAGAACAGGAAGATGTATGGAGAATAAAAGATCGGAAATCAAAATATATTTTAATATAAGTGGATGTGTGTCCAGATGGTTCTATGAAAACTGAACTGAATCAGAGAGAGATACGAAAAATAAAATAGCAGGAGTGACAAGGATTCTATTTTAAAAAAAAAAAAACTTTTTTCGATAGATGGGAAAGTAGAATATTATTAACAGTTTTTATGGTTGTTAGATTTGAGGATTCAATGTTACGTAAAGGTGCACAAGAAAATATATATATAAATTAGACCGTGAGGTGGTGTGAAATATAATTCAGGGAGTTGAAAGGGATTGTTGAGATTGTTTGTTTAGAAAAGATAAAGCAAGGTAGGGTTGATTAAGAGGGTAGGTAAATCTGGAGTGGAGGGTAGATGTGCGAAAATGGCTGGAAGGTGTGACGGTTTTTAAGTTGTAAAGGTTTGAGTATCCAGCAGTACATGTGAACGTTTTAAATAGGAGTGAGTGGTTCTTGAGATTTGATGTGCTGTTGGAGTGTTAGCAGGTGGCAAATACAGGAGAGACTAAATGATGTGTGTGCAGGTTGTGGGGTGCGAGACAGCAATGAGAAGACCCCCATACTACACACTGGGGATAAAACCCCCCTGTCGTATGGTAGCAACGGTGATGTGAACCACTACGACTATCACACCCTGCCCTACCACACTGCCTCTACCACAATTACCACAACTACCACAGCTACCAGATTCTGGATCCTCACCGTCTTTTCTGTCCTGTCTTGGGTGCAGGTGAGACACTTCTTTCACATTTTATATACAGTATAATCAAATTAATTAGCGAAATAGTATATGTATTCTCCGTTTCCTTGGATCAAATCTCATTGCCTTTCATTCTCCTGGCAATGTATGCCCCCTACGGGTTTAGCATTTAGGAGTATTGTAGACTGTGAGAGATGTAGCTGAAGGCTACGAGAAAATGTTGGTTAATAATGATAAAGATTGCTATAGCAAGGTCACACCATTGTTGTCGATGTTATTGTGGTTGATGTTGTGGTTGTTGATGATAATGATGTTAATGTTGCTGATGATGATGTTGTTGTGTTTGTTGTTGTTGATGTTGTCATATTTTTGCCACACTTTCTGTTACTTGTATTAATACTACCACTCGTATCTCATTTATTATGAAACTACCACTACTACCACCACTACTACTACTATCACCACCACCACAATAATAATCACTAAGACCACCACCACAACAGCTACCAATACCATTACAGTTACTACCACCACTACAATCACCATCACCCCAACAGTCACTAAGACCACCACATTAACAATTGCCAGCACCACCACCACAATAATCACCACCACCACCACTAACAGTCTCACTACCTGCAGGGGGTACAGTGGAACACATGGGGCCCCATCAGTGAGAGTATGGGGGCGGCGTTCCCTGGATGGGGGTCATCAACAGTGGCCATGATGGCCAACTGGGGAACCATAATGTTTGTGGTGTTCGTGTTTCCCATGTGCTGGGCCACTCAACGCTATGGCCTGCGCAAGGTGGTGTTAGCTAGCACTGCGCTCATCTTCCTTGGAACAGCCATACGCTGTGTCACTACAGCCGGTCCAGTCTTCACTATGTAAGTTTTTGTTTTTTTCGCCTATTACTGGTTTATTTTCGTTTTTTTTTCTGTTTTCGTTTCCCGTTTTCCATTTTGTGATTTCTCTGTTTAACTTGTTAATTGCCTTCAGCCGCTTTTCCCTGTAGCCTCTTGTCTTGCCGTTTTTCCTTTTAGCCTGTTGTATTGCCGTTTTTTCCTTTTAGCCTGTTGTCTTGCCGTTTTTCCTTTTAGCCTGTTGTCTTGCCGTTTTTTCCTTTTAGCCTGTTGTATTGCCGTTTTTCCTTTTAGCCTGTTGTCTTGCCGTTTTTCCTTTTAGCCTGTTGTCTTGCCGTTTTTCCTTTTAGCCTGTTGTCTTGCCGTTTTTTCTTGTAGCCTGTTGTCTTGCCGTTTTTTTCTTGTAGCCTGTTGTCTTGGCGCTTTTTCCCTCCTAACCCGTTGTCTTGCCGTCTTTTTCCTGTAGCCCGTTATCTTGCCGTTTTCCCTGTAGCCTGCTGTCTTGCTGTTTTTCCCTGTAGCCCGTTATTTTGCCTTTTCCCTGTATATTTCTATAGCCCGCTGTCCTGTCGTCTTTTCCTTGTACATTACTGTATTGCCGTTTTTCCCCAATGGAAATAAATCACTCTGATTTTTTTGGGTTATCCCAGGTTCTCTACACATATGCTGCTGTGTATGAAAATCTATGTAAATGCATCAGTGTATACTTGAATAAACTAACTAGTCTTGCCGTTTTCCCCTGTAACCTGTCGTCTTACCATGTTTTCCCTGTAACCTGTCGTCTTGGCGTTTTTCCCTGTAACCTGTCGTCTTGCCGTTTTTCCCTGTAACCTGTCGTCTTGCCATGTTTTCCCTGTAGCTTGTCATCTTCTCGCTTTCTTTTTTGACAATGTCACGTTCCTGTTTCCTCCCTGTGAACCAACTATTGGTCATCGCCTCTTCTTGTTCCCTGAGAAGAACATAGCTAAAGGAAGGTGAGTAGCCTGGGTCAGTGGCCTCAAGACTGTAAGGTAAGACGCTTATCTCTGGGCTCTGGGGATGATAGCAGCGGCGACTTACGTGTTGTGACGGATGTACAGTGACGCCAGTGAGGTGGGTCAGTAAGTGGTTTATTAGGCGTCAGGAGACACTCTCCTATCTGAGAGTCAAATGACATTACAGAAGACAGCACGGAAGAGAGGCTATCTTTACAGGAAAAGATGTTTTTATTGTCTAGACTCGCAGGGGTCTCCAAACTGCGGCCCACCACAAGATTTTATGCGGCCCACAGCAGCTTGAAATACTTATAAACAGTAAAACTAATTAAACCCTTATTTTCAGTCACTTAAAGTTAAGGATTTTGTTGCTTGTAACAATTTATATGTCAAAATTTGTTGAAATTATAGTTGTAATCTTTTCATTTTCCAGATATACCTTTCAGTTATGGAAAGAAAAGAAGAGCGAAGAGTGCCGCCAGTTTCGTGAAGACTGGGGCGTAAAGTAGTTGTTTGTAGCAGCAGGTGATAAAACCTGGTGTGTCGTATACCACGAAACTTGCAGTTTTAAAAGAGTATAACATAAACCAAGATATTTCCATTTCACAGGAACACAGCGTTCGGAAAAAAATGAATCAAATCAATAAAGGTTACTTTCCCAACAAGGTTTTCACACAGAAGAGACCTGATAATGAAGCTTGATCCAGAGCCAGTTACAAAGTAGCTTATGCGTTAGCCGTAAGAGGTAAGCCATTTACTGACAGAGATCTGATCAAAGAGTCTATGATGGGAAGATTGGGAGAGTTATGCCCGGAAAAAGCAAATCTCTTCAAATCCTCAGTCTTGCTACGAACGCTGTTGATTGTAGAAGTGAAGGTATGTGAAGCAATTTATTCCATCAAATTACAAACAGAGACCTTAATTTACAGTTTTATCTTCTCACGCTTGATGAATGATGTGACGCATCACAACTCTTGCTATTGATCCGTGACGTTGATCATGAGTTTAATGTCACACAAGAATTAGCATCAATGTATAGTATGCACGGCACCAGAGAAGATATGTCCAAAGACGTGCAAAAAACTATTAGAGAAAATATATATATATATGTCTCCTTGTATATATACGCATACGTCTTGGTATTATATATATATATATATATATATATATATATATATATATATATATATATATATTTATATATATATATATATATATATATTATATATATATATATATATATATATATATATAATCCCTATTTTAGGGATTACAGTATTGTCTGGTGGTGAACAGGTTGGGTGTGGTTGGTTACCGGGAGTTTAAAGTCTATCTACTACACTAGGGTCATTAAGGCTGCAGGTAACCTTACCACCAGACGAGAATATTCCACTCTCTGAAACAGGGCTTAAGCTTTCAGCATATATACTCTGAGAGACATATATACCCCACGGTGTATATACCCCAAGGTGTATATACCTCACGGTGTATATACCTCACGGTGTATATACCCCACGGTGTATATACCCCACGGTGTATATACCTCACGGTGTATATACCCCACGGTGTATATACCTCACTGTGTATATACCTCACGGTGTATATACCTCACGGTGTATATACCTCACGGTGTATATACCCCACGGTGTATATACCCCACGGTGTATATACCTCACGGTGTACATACCTCACGGTGTATATACCTCACGGTGTATATACCTCACGGTGTATATACCCCACGGTGTATATACCCACGGTGTATATACCTCACGGTGTATATACCTCACGGTGTATATACCTCACGGTGTATATACCCCACGGTGTATATACCTCACGGTGTATATACCTCACGGTGTATATACCTCACGGAGTATATACCTCACGGTGTATATACCCCACGGTGTATATACCCCACGGTGTATATACCTCACGGTGTATATACCTCACGGTGTATATACCTCACGGTGTATATACCTCACGGTGTATATACCCCACTCTGTATATACCCCACGGTGTTATATACCCCACGGTGTATATACCTCACGGTGTATATACCTCACGGTGTATATACCTCACGGTGTATATACCTCACGGTGTATATACCCCACGGTGTATATACCTCACGGTGTATATACCTCACGGTGTATATACCTCACGGTGTATATACCCCACGGTGTATATACCTCACGGTGTATATACCTCACGGTGTACATACCTCACGGTGTATATACCTCACGGTGTATATACCTCACGGTGTATATACCCCACGGTGTATATACCTCACGGTGTATATACCTCACGGTGTATATACCTCACGGTGTATATACCCCACGGTGTATATACCCCACGGTGTATATACCTCACGGTGTACATACCTCACGGTGTATATACCTCACGGTGTATATACCCCACGGTGTATATACCTCACGGTGTATATACCTCACGGTGTATATACCCCACGGTGTATATACCTCACGGTGTATATACCTCACGGTGTATATACCTCACGGTGTATATACCCCACGGTGTATATACCTCACGGTGTATATACCTCACGGTGTATATACCTCACGGTGTATATACCCACGGTGTATATACCCCACGGTGTATATACCTCACGGTGTATATACCTCACGGTGTATATACCCCACGGTGTATATACCCCACGGTGTATATACCTCACGGTGTATATACCTCACGGTGTATATACCCCACGGTGTATATACCTCACGGGTGTATATACCCCACGGTGTATATACCTCACGGTGTACATACCTCACGGTGTATATACCTCACGGTGTATATACCTCACGGTGTATATACCTCACGGTGTATATACCTCACGGTTGTATGTACCCCACGGTGTATATACCCCACGGTGTATATACCTCACGGTGTATATACCTCACGGTGTATATACCCCACGGTGTATATACCTCACGGTGTATATACCCACGGTGTATATACCCCACGGTGTATATACCTCACGGTGTATATACCTCACGGTGTATATACCTCACGGTGTATATACCTCACGGTGTATATTACCTCACAGTGTATATACCTCACGGTGTACATACCTCACGGTGTATATACCTCACGGTGTAATATACCTCACGGTGTATATACCTCACGGTGTATATACCCCACGGTGTATATACCCCACGGTGTATATACCTCACGGTGTACATACCTCACGGTGTATATACCTCACGGTGTATATACCCACGGTGTATATACCTCACGGTGTATATACCTCACGGTGTATATACCCCACGGTGTATATACCTCACGGTGTATATACCTCACGGTGTATATACCTCACGGTGTATATACCCCACGGTGTATATACCCCACGGTGTATATACCTCACGGTGTATATACCTCACGGTGTATATACCCCACGGTGTATATACCTCACGGTGTATATACCCCACGGTGTATATACCCCACGGTGTATATACCTCACGGTGTATATACCTCACGGTGTATATACCCCACGGTGTATATACCCCACGGTGTATATACCCCACGGTGTATATACCTCACGGTGTATATACCTCACGGTGTATATACCCCACGGTGTATATACCTCACGGTGTATATACCCCACGGTGTATATACCTCACGGTGTACATACCTCACGGTGTATATACCTCACGGTGTATATACCTCACGGTGTATATACCTCACGGTGTATATACCCCACGGTGTATATACCCCACGGTGTATATACCTCACGGTGTATATACCTCACGGTGTATATACCCCACGGTGTATATACCTCACGGTGTATATACCCCACGGTGTATATACCCCACGGTGTATATACCTCACGGTGTATATACCTCACGGTGTATATACCTCACGGTGTACATACCTCACGGTGTATATACCTCACGGTGTATATACCTCACGGTGTATATACCTCACGGTGTATATACCTCACAGTGTATATACCTCACGGTGTACATACCTCACGGTGTATATACCTCACGGTGTATATACCTCACGGTGTATATACCTCACGGTGTATATACCTCACGGTGTATATACCTCACGGTGTACATACCTCACGGTGTATATACCTCACGGTGTATATACCTCACGGTGTATATACCTCACGGTGTATATACCTCACGGTGTACATACCTCACGGTGTATATACCTCACGGTGTATATACCTCACGGTGTATATACCTCACGGTGTATATACCTTGTAACTAAAATAAATGCACCTTTTTCTCTGCCTTTTTATGACTGTTAAGTGTATTTTATGGGGAGAAAAATATGGATAATTTCCATATATTTTTTTTGAAATTGAAAATATTGACATTTCTCAATATATTTTTTATACGTCATTTGAGGTTGTTACCTAGGTACAGGAGCTAGAGTCCAACCTCATTAATAAAAAACGAAGAACGTGGCAGGCAATCAGGCTTAATTCAGAGCACAGATCCAATTCCCTAGATCAAGAGCCCCCCTCACCAGCGTCAAGGAACCTCCCCTGGAGGGGGTCCAGCAGTAACAGCCTGGTTGATCCTCTGGGGCAGATGATATCTTTCGGGTCCTAGACTGGTCAATACCAGACTGATTATTGTTGTGTTTAAGGGAAAGCGCTAAATCCACAGGGCTATACAGTGCCCTGGGGAACATAATTGGGTTTCATCCAGGGAAGGGGAGGGGAGGTCCAATTCCTTGAATCAAGAGCCCCTCACCGACATCAAGAACCCTCCATTTGAGGGGAAGACCAGCTGTGTGGTTAGTGATACCAACTGTGTGCGGTTAATGGCCCCAACTGTGCGTAATGGCACCAGCTGTGCGTAATGGCACCAAGTGTGAGTAATGGCACCAACTGGGCGTAATGGCACCAGCTATGCGTAATGGCACCAACTGTTTAATGGCACCAACTGTGCGTAATGGCACCAGCTGTGCGTAATGGCACCAACTGTGTAATGACACCAACTGTGTAATGGCACCAACTGTGCGTAATGGCACCAGCTGTGCGTAATGGCACCAGCTGCGCGTAATGGCACCAACTGCGTAATGGCACCAACTGTGCGTAATGGCACCAGCTCTGTGTAATGGCACCAGCTGTGCGTAATGACACCAGCTGGTGTCATTACGCACAGCTGTCATTACGCACAGCTGTCATTACGCGTGTCTGTGTTACGACACAGACACGCGTCATCTCATGACGCGTGTCTGTGTCGTAACACGTTCACTGGTGCCGGATGTGTCTGCGCATGTATACCGTACGTATGTATGCTTGTACGTATGTATGCTTGTGCGTATGTATGGCGCGAGAAGCGGCAGGAGACTGTGTATTTTTGTATTGAAAGTGGATACAGTGACAGGAAAAACTAGTTGAGTTTACCCTGCCATCGTGAGTTCGTAGACGTCAGTCCGAGCTTGGAGACGTCAGTCTGAACTTGGAGACGTCAGTCTGAGCTTGGAGACTTGAGCATTCCACTTAGCCTCTGAAGGTTCAGTAGGTACGGCAGTAGGAACCGCCGGCTTACACTGCTCTGAGTATTGATGTAGGTCAGAGGGAATGTACGCCTAACCAAGGGTACCTGACCTCACAATCTAATCTTGGAGTGGCGTATCACTAACACCGCTGAGTTCACTGGCCACTATTGCTGTGGTCCTCTAAAGAGACAGACCGTTGAGACCAGCGGTCATTACTGCTATGGTATATTGACACTGAAAGCACTGAGGACAGTCTTAATAAGTCAGTGATCACGCATTCTAAATATCTGTCACTAGGATATATGATTCTGAAATGAGATATGCTGTCCTAGTTAACGCTAGTAAGTGTATCATGTAGCCTTATAAATAACAAAAAGGCACAATACCGTGACTGGAACGATACACAAATAACCCGCACATAAAAGAGAGAAGCTTACGACGACGTTTCGGTCCGACTTGGACCATTGACAAAGTCAATGGTCCAAGTCCAAGTCGGTCCGAAACGTCGTCGTAAGCTTCTCTCTTTTATGTGCGGGTTATTTGTGTATGTAGCCTTATCATGTAGCAGCTGTGTTGGGTTATGTATGCCAAGGGTTGGGACAAATGATATTTTTATGCTGGCCTCAGCATAAGTGCCATCTGCGAAGAATAGCTTCTTTAAGGTTGAGGGAAGAATTTCTCGTCTTTCTGGCTTATTTAGATTTAGAAGCCATATCAGAGGTAGAGTTGATTACACACACACACACAACACACACACACACACACACACACACACACACACATATAAAGGGGTGACTCCAGAATTTCTGTACTGAAGGGCTTAGAGGGGGCTATCTGGTTCAAAGAGGGCTGAGAGACTTGTTTTGAAGCAACGTTATTATTATTGCTGTTTTATTTATTGGGGGCTGAGGGGCTTTAGCCCCCGAGATCCCCCTCCCGTTCTTTGCGCCGCCTCCATCTACATATACGTACATCCCAGTTGCGAGATTGTTGATGGATTTTTTTTTCTTATGCGCCGGTATTCTCCCGGCCCGGGTCTTTTCCAAGTAGTGGTGACCTGGCCTTGGCTCCCTATCTGGGGAGTGTCTCGAGACGTAAGTCTCCCATGGGAGGAGGTACAAGTACCCTCTCATCTTTGGGACCAAGTGTCCCCAGGCCTAGCCACAGTCCCTCCTCACGGGGCTCGTAGGGAGAAGCTAGGCCTCTGGTCTGCCATCTGCCCCGCCCCAAAGGGGCTCGTGGGGATGGCAGTCTTGTGAGCTGCAGGTGATAGCAAGCTCAGGCCTTTCCCCATTGTTGATGGTGCTCACCAGGAGTCTTGTTTCCAAGCGGCTCTGTATCGTCTCTGAGTTCCTCCAGTACAATTGAAAACAGTGTATTGTATCGAGTGGAAAAAATAAACTTAAATGCAGTATAATGCGTTCTTTATTGACTACGTGTCGCCCACACAGTGGGTTCTATCAAATCACAAACAGATTCACCTGGGTAAAGTTCATGTGGGTTCACCAGGACGGGTCCTGGCCCGGGTCTTCATGTGGTGACCCGGCAGTGGCTCCCAACGGTGTGTCGGAGTTGGTACAAGTGATATGATGTGTACAACCCTATAGCGGGGGCAGCCCTATAGCGGGGGCAACCCTATAGCGGGGGCAGCCCTATAGCGGGGCAGCCCTATAGCGGGGGCAGCCCTATAGCAGGGGCAGCCCTATAGCGGGGGCAACCCTATAGCGGGGGCAGCCCTATAGCGGGGGCAGCCCTATAGCGGTTGCAGCCCTATGACAAGACCATGGCGAACCTACATGAGTATATATAAGGTGAGGAGTCAGAGGGAGAATTCTGGGTAGGTTGGATCGCATTATGCTTCATTTGTGTTCAATTTTTTCCTCGTGTCCGTATTTTACACCTTTTATCTGAAACGAAAAAAAGTATTTTGCATTCTTTACTATCGTGGCAATTTGCTGCTAGCTTTTTTGTTTTGGATGAAAGACATGGCCATCACCCACTTGCCGAGTTTAATGTACCAAAAATGGGCAGAAACAACGGGATTCTTCTTTGAAATCTTTCTGGACTCACCCTCCAGGATCGTTCCCTGGCGCTCGGGGAAGTATTGGATGGATGGTTGTGGCCTGGTTGACCAGGCAAGCACCAGACGAGTCTGGCTCATGGCCGGGCTCCGGGAGTGGAAAATCTCTCGGAACTCATCAGAGGTAAAGGTATATCTATCAGAGGTAAAGTTATATCTATCTCATTCTCTTCGGCACCCGCAGGTCCACTTTCCAGGATTTAGATCTTCATGTAGTGGAAGCAAAGGTGATACTAGCAGTAGGAGGATGCTGGACAGCATCATCATCCCCTGGTGTTGTGAGGGGTGATTCAACTTCGCCGTGAGAAACAGCGTTCGTGGTAGAGTAAAAACTACCCATCTTTGACATTTCGAAAAGTTCAGCTTTCACCCCCCCCCCTTTGCGCCTCTTCAGAACATCTCGTAGTTTTCTCAGCATTTTCTGATATAGCTATTTTATGATACAGAACAGAACAGCTGATCAAATTTGGACCATGTTTATACTGCTATGTACTCCATTTTGTCACGTTATAATTCGCCTACTCGCGGCAGTGGCTCCTAACATGAACGTTATGTACCTAACATGCATCCTAGACAAGTAAATAAGTTATTTAGGTACAGGTACACATAAATACATGTCCCTCTGTCCACACCACGTGTTCTAAACTCCCAGCACGTGTTCTAAACTCCCAGCAAGTGTCCTAAACTCCCACCCTGTGTCTGCAGAATGTGTCATCTGTGTGCGATTCTAGTGGGAGTGGCGAGCACTGTGGTCCTGGCTGCTCCTATTGTCATTGCTTCAGACTGGTTCCCACCGCACGAGAGGACCACGGCTCTAGGTCAGTATCCTATCTCTCCAGAGTCCTTCAGAGTCCTTCAGAGTCCTCCAGAGCCATCCAGAGTCTTTCAGAGTCCTCCAGAGCCATCCAGAGTCCTCCAGAGTCCTTCACAGTCCACGACTAACCATCAGGCCAGAGATGCAACTTGTAGTCGATGTTTCGCTCAGTCCTGGACTATTAATATTGAATCACTGCTGCTCTTTTCACCCGATTTTTTCCTGGTATTTTCCTTATTTTTACTCCATGTTTTCCCCTCGTCTTACAACTTTCTTCCCCTCATATTTCCCTTTTTTTTTCTATTATCTTCTTCTCTTTTTACTCGTTCTTTCCCCATATATTATTCTTTCCCTTTTCTTGTACTTAAAATTAACATAATAATAACAATACAATAATAATAATGATAATAATAACAATACCAATAAAATAATAATAAAAATAAATGATTATTATCATTATTATTTTATATTAATATAATTAGGAAAAATATAAAAATATAATAATAATAATAATAATAATAATAATAATAATAACTAAAATAATAATAATAATAATAATAATAATAATAATAATAATAATAATAACCTAGAGTTTACCTGGAGAGGGTTCCGGGGGTCAACGCCCCCGCGGCCCGGTCTGTGACCAGGCCTCCTGGTGGATCAGAGCCTAATAATAATATAATTATAAAATATTTGTTAATTAATGATAATAATACTAATAATAATGCCATATTTTTTTGGTGTGACTGGTGTTGGTGTGTTTGGTTGGCACTGGTACACCACCAGCTGTGATGATGGGTACCAACCAGCTGAGTGGTGTGGGCAGCTACCTGGAACCCTTGTTGGTACGAGAACCAGGACCAGATGTCACTGTCTATGAGATACAGTCTGATGTTATGATGCTGATGTATATAGGTAGGTCCTCTCACACTGATGTTGATGTTATGGTGGTGATGTATATAGGTAGGTCCTCTGACACTGATGTTGATGTTATGGTGGTGATGTATATAGGTAGGTCCTCTGACACTGATGTTGATGTTATGGTGGTGATGTATATAGGTAGGTCCTCTCACACTGATGTTGATGTTATGGTGGTGATGTATATAGGTAGGTCCTCTCACACTGATGTTGATGTTATGGTGGTGATGTATATAGGTAGGTCCTCTCACACTGATGTTGATGTTATGGTGGTGATGTATATAGGTAGGTCCTCTCACACTGATGTTGATGTTATGGTGGTGATGTATATAGGTAGGTCCTCTCACACTGATGTTGATGTTATGGTGGTGATGTATATAGGTAGGTCCTCTCACACTGATGTTGATGTTATGGTGGTGATGTATATAGGTAGGTCCTCTCACACTGATGATGTTGTTATTGAAATTATTATAATTATTTCAATATAATTATTTAGATTATGGCTATAAAAATTGTTACTACTAATATTACTGCTACTAATAGTTTGCATGTGTTGTTGCAGGAGCTGGTATTTCTGTAGTGTTGCTGCTGGCAGTGTTGGTGTACTTCCCCTCCAAACCTGCTATACCACCCTCCCTCACCTCCTCCACGGGAAGACTGGCCTTCCAACCAGCCTTCCACACCCTCATCAAGTAAGCTAACTCTCTCTTTCACTATTTTTTTTACACAGGGTTTGACAAGGTTAAGGATCCCTAGCTTTATTGACAAACTATTTACAGGTTAAGGATCCCTAGCTTTATTGACAGCTATTTACAGGTTAAGGATTCCTAACTTTATTGACAAGCTATTTACAGGTTAAGGATCCTAGCTTATTGACAGCTATTTACAGGTTAAGGATTCCTAAGTTTATTGACAAGCTATTTACAGGTTAAGGATCCCTAGCTTTATTGACAGCTATTTACAGGTTAAGGATTCCTAACTTTATTGACAAGCTATTTACAGGTTAAGGATCCCTAGCTTTATTGACAGCTATTTACAGGTTAAGGATTCCTAACTTTATTGACAAGCTATTTACAGGTTAAGGATCCCTAGCTTTATTGACAAGCTATTTACAGGTTAAGGATTCCTAACTTTATTGGCAAGCTATTTACAGGTTAAGGATTCCTAACTTTATTGGCAAGCTATTTACAGGTTAAGGATTCCTAACTTTATTGGCAAGCTAAGAGCTGTTACCTACATCAGCTCATTTGAAAGCATTTTTATTGTTATGAGACATACAAGTAGGGAACAGGATGAAGTTGGAGCCATCTGTGGGCCAGCATTTTCATTTGATCAACTGACTTTATCTCTCTCTCTCTCTCTCTCTCTCTCTCTCTCTCTCTCTATCTATCTATCTATCTATCTCGTATAAAAGTTTCTAGAAACTCTTCTTGTGTATCTAATGTTAAAATTAGAACAATATTATTAATTTTTTCATCAGTATGGTGCTAAAACTGCAATGTTTGATCCAAGGAAGTGGATCTAGCGTCAGCCTCACTGAATCAATCCAGATTATTCTCATATGAGAATCTATGACCCTTACGGGTGTAGCGATTCTTCGTCAATATACTACTACTACTGTTACTACTACTGTTACTACTACTACTACTGTTACTACTACTACTACTACTGTTACTACTACTACTACTACTGTTACTACTACTACTACTGTTACTACTACTACTACTACTACTGTTACTACTACTACTACTGTTACTACTACCACTATACTACTGTTACTATTACTACTGTTACTACTACTACTGTTACTACTACTACTACTGTTACTACTACTACTACTGTTACTACTACCACTACTACTACTGTTACTAACTACTACTGTTACACTACACTACTACCTGTTATACTACTACGTTACTACTACCACTACTTTCTACTGTTACTACTACTACTACTGTTACTACTACTACTAACTGTTACTACTACTACTACTACTGTTACTACTTACTACTACTATGTTACTACTACTACTACTACTGTTACTACTACCACTACTACTACTGTTACTATACTACTATCTGTTACTACTACTACTACTGTTTACTACTACTACTACTCTTTACTACTACTACATACTACTGTTACTAACTACTTACTACTACTACTACTGTTACTACTACTACTACTGTTACTACATACTTACATACTGTTACTACTGCTACTACTACTACTGTTACTACTACCACCACTACTACTACTGTTACTACTCTACTACTACTGTTACTACTACTACTACTGTTACTAAACTACTACTACTGTTACTACTACTACTACTACTTACTACTACACTGTACTACTACTGATACTACTATACTGTTACTACTACTACTACTACTGTTACTACTACTACTACTGTTACTACTACTACTACTGTTACTACTGCTACTACTACTACTGTTACTACTACTACTGTTACTACTGTCAATACTACTACTACTACTGTTACTACTACACTACTACTACTGTTACTACTACTCTACTACTGTTACAACTACTACTGTTACTACTTACTGCTACTACTAACTGTTACTACTACTACTACTGTTACTACTACTACTACTACTCTGTTACTACAATACTACTGTTACTATACTAACTACTACTGTTACTACTACTACTGTTACTACTACTACTGTTACTACTACTACTACTTACTGTTACTACTACTACTACTACTGTACTACTATACTACTGTCTATCTACTACTACTGTACTACTCACTACTACTACTGTTACTACTACTGTTCTACACTACTACTAACTACCTACTACATACTACTACTGTTACTACTACCACTACTACTACTAACTACTACTGTTACTACTACTACTGTTACTACTACTACTGTTACTACTACTACTACTGTTACTACTACTACTACTGTTAACTACACTACTACTACTGTTACTACTTACTACTACTGTTACTACTCTAACTACTACTACTGTTAATACTACACTACTAACTAGTTACTACTACTGTTACTACTACTATACTACTGTTACTACTACTACTACTGTTACTACTAACTACTACTGTATACACTACTACTACTGTTACTACTACTACTACTACTGTTACTACTACTACTACTGTTACTACTACTACACTACTGTTACTACTACTACTACTACTACTACTACTACTACACTGTTACTAACTACTGTTACTACTACTACTACTACTGTTACTACTACTACTACTACTGTATACTACACTACTACTACTAGTTACTTTACTACTACTACTGTTACTACTACTGTACTACGTTACTATACATACTGTTACTACTACTACTACTATATAACTACTACTGTATACTACTACTACTACTACTGTTACTATACTACTACTGTTACTACTACTACTACTACTGTTCACTACTTACTACTACTGCTACTACTACACTACTACTACTACTACTACTACTACTGTTACTACTACTACTACTACTGTTACTACTACTACTACTGTTACTACTACCACTACTACTACTGTTACTACTACTACTACTGTTACTACTACTACTACTGTTACTATACTCTACTGTTACTATCTACACTACTACTACTACTAGTCACTACTACTGTTACTACTCATACACTACTGTATACTGATCTACTACTGTTACTACTACTACTCTACTATGCTTACTACTTACTACTGTTACTACTACTACTACTACTGTTACTACTACTACTACTGTTACTTACTACTACTACTGTATACTACTACTCTACTATCTACTATACTGTTACTACTCACTACTGTTACTACTGTATCTACTACATACTGTTACTACTACACTACTTATACTGTTACTACTACTACTACTGTTACTACTGTACTACTACTACTACTGTTTACTACTTACTACTGTTACTACTACTACACTGATTACTACTACTACTACTACTGTACTACTACTCTACACTGTACTACTACTACACGTTACTTACTTCTACATACTTTACTACTACACTACTACTGGTTACTCTACTACTACTACTGTTACTACTACGTACTACTAGTACTACTACTACACTTTCACTACTGTTTCACTACTACTATGTTACTATACTTACGTATACTTCTCTATACTACTACTGTTACTACTCTCTACTACTGGTTTACATACTACTCTGTTCACTACTACTCACATACTCACTCACTGGTTTACAGTACTTCCTCACTACTGTTTCAACAGTACTACCTACTACTCCACTGTACTACACTATACTTTCTCCTCCCACTGGATCTTCACTGTTACTCTCTCGTCTACAGTACTCTCTCTCCACTGTCTTACCGGTACTTCCTCACTGTACTATCCAGGTACTTCCTCTCCACTGGTCTTCACTAGTACTACTCCTCTCAACACTGGGTCTATCACCAGGTACTTCTACTCTCCACTGGGTCTTCACTACTGTATTCCCTCCTCCACTGGGTCTTACACAGGTACTTTCTCTCCCACTGGGTCTTCACCAGGTACTATCTCTCCACTGGGTCTTCACAGTACTTCTCTCTCACTCACTAACTCTACTGGTCTTCACAGGTACTCCTATGTCTCTACTACTCTCCACTGGTCTTACACAGGTACTTACTCTACTGTTCTACTATTCTCACTGGGTCAATTACACCGGTACTTACCTACTCCTCTCACGGTCTCTACCAGTACTTACTATTACTCCTCACTGGTACTACTTCTACTCATGGTTACTATACTCTCTCCTCCACTGGTCTCAATACTTTACTCAGGTTACTTACCTCTCTGTCCACCACTGGTACTTCTCTACTGTCTTAGGTACTTCCCTCCTCCACTGGGTCTTCACCAGGTACTTCTCTACTGTTTACGTATCTCTCTCCACTGGGTCTTCACTAGTACTCTCCTCCTCACTGTCTACGTGGTCTCCTCTCACTGCTTCACCAGGTACTTCTCTCCTCCCACTGGTCTTCACCAGGTACTTCTCCTCCCACTGGTCTTCACCAGGTACTTCCTACTGTTCACCAGTACTCCTCCCACTGGGTCTTCACCAGTACTTCTCTCTCCCACTGGGTCTTCACTATTGTACTGTTCTCCTCACCATGATCTTTCACCAGTACTTCTCTTCATCCCATGATCTTCATTCAGTATTTCCTACCTTCCTACTAGAGGTCTTACAGGTGTATTCTTGCTCTCCACTGGTTCTTCTACTAGGATACTTCGTCCTGCGACCTGGGTGTTCACCTGAGTGTATTCTCTCCTCCCACATGGGGTTTCAACCAGTACTTCTCCTCTCCACTGGGTCTTCACAGGTACTTCCCATCCTTCCACTGTGGTCCTTTCACCAGGTACTTCACTCCTCCCATGGGTCTTTCACCAGGTACTTTCTCCTCCCACCATGGGTCTTCATCAGGTACTTCTCTCCTCCACTGGGTCTTCACTAGGTACTTCTCTCCTCCCACTGGTCTTCACAGGTACTTCCTCCTCCCACTGGTCTTCACCAGGTATTCCCTCCTCCCATGGTCTTCACCAGTACTTCCCTCCTACTGGGTCTTCACCAGGTACTTCTCTCTTCCCACTGGGTCTTCACATGACTTCTCCTCCCACTGGTCTTCACCAGGTACTTTCTCTCCACTGGGTCTTCACTGGTACTTCTTCCCACTGGGTCGTTACCAGGTACTTCTTCCTCCCTGTTTCGTTATCACAGGTACTTACTCTTGTGGTTTCATAGGTATTCTGTTACCATTGGGTTTTACAGGTATTATTTTACTGGTCTTCACCAAGGTAATTTTATACTGGTTTTCATAGGTATTAACTCTACTGTTTACAGGTACTTATTACTGATGATCTTGACAGGTACCCTCGCATGGGTGTTCTAGACTCCTCTCAGTGCAGTTTACCAGCTTCTACTACCACTTGAATTTCAACCAGACTTCTTCATCCATGGGTCTTGACTAGGTACTTGATTCCTCCACTGTTGTGTCTTCACAGCCTAATTCGCCCTACCCCTACTGGGTTTCATGGTGTACCTTCTACCCTCATGGTATACATGGATTTTGGTCCTCACGGTCTGGCACCTAATGTGTAATCCTCTCTATGGGTCTTGCCCAGAGGTAGAACTTTCTCCTCCCCGGGTCTTCACAGTAAATTTCGTAACTGGTCCCTTCTCTTCTTACTCTCACTGTCTTCAACTGGTTTGTTCATACTGGTCTTCTAAACTTGATGGGTTTCCTTGCCTCCACTACTTCCTTGCTAGGCTTATTCCACTTGCTAACAACTCTTATGAAGAAATACTTCCTAACGTCCCTGTGACTCGGTCTGAGTTTCAGTTCCAGTTGTGACCCCTTGTCCCTTGTCCCTCTCTGGAAATCCATCTTGTCCACTTGTCTATTCCACGCAGTATCTTGTTGTCGTTATCATGCCTCCCCTGACCCTTCTGTCCTCCAGTGTCGTCAGTCCGATTTCCCTTAACCTTTTCCTCGTACGACATTCCCTTGAGCTCTGTGTGTGTGTAATCTTTTGCTCATAATTTCTGAAGTTTGTAGACTTCTGTGTTTTAAGTGTATATTATTTTACTGTTTTTCCACCCCCCCAATATATATAAATATATATATATATATATATAATATATATATATATATATATATAAATATATATATATATATATAATATATATATATATATATTGAAGGCGGGAAGGGAAATTGATGAGAGGCTGAAGCCTCCATGATGCCTTGTATTGACCACCTCACACGCAACTTGCAACTTTATCCTAATCCACGACATTTCTAGTGCATACCCTAGTGCAGGGCTCTTGATCTAAGGACTAATGTACCCTCAGGGCAGGTGTATGTGTCCGTGGTGGGGGGCACAGCCTTCAACTACGCCACCTACCCACTACTGTACGAGGTAGGTGTGGACCTGGCCTACCCAGCCCCTGAGATCCTGGTGTCTGGGGCCCTCACAGCCGCTGAGAACCTAATGTCTACACTCTTCCTTCTGGTCTTCTTCCTCCCAGACGCTGGTAAGAACTTTCTCTCTCTCTTGGTGTTGCTTTTCTTAGTCAGAACTGGTGTTTTGTTAGTCAGAACTGGTGTTTTGTTAGTCAGAACTGGTGTTTTGTTAGTCAGAACTGGTGTTTTGTTAGTCAGAACTGGTGTTTTGTTAGTTAGAACTGGTGTTTTGTTAGTTAGAACTGGTGTTTTGTTAGTTATAAGTGGTGTTTTGTTAGTTATAAGTGGTGTTTTGTTAGAACTGGAGTTTCCTCAGAACTGGTATTTTGTTAGTCAGAGCTGGTGTTTCTGTTAGTCAGAACTGGTGTTTTGTTAGCAAGAACTGGTGTTTATTAGTCAGAACTGGTGTTTTGTTAGTCAGAACTGGTGTTTTGTTAGCAAGAACTGGTGTTTTGTTAGCAAGAACTGGTGTTTGTTAGTCAGAACTGGTGTTTGTTAGTCAGAACTGGTGTTTTGTTAGCAAGAACTGGTGTTTGTTAGTCAGAACTGGTGTTTTGTTAGTCAGAACTGGTGTTTTGTTAGCCAGAACTGGTGTTTGTTAGTCAGAACTGGTGTTTTGTTAGCAAGAACTGGTGTTTGTTAGTCAGAACTGGTGTTTTGTTAGCAAGAACTGGTGTTTGTTAGTCAGAACTGGTGTTTGTTAGTCAGAACTGGTGTTTTGTTAGCAAGAACTGGTGTTTGTTAGTCAGAACTGGTGTTTTGTTAGTCAGAACTGGTGTTTTGTTAGTCAGAACTGGTGTTTTGTTAGCAAGAACTGGTGTTTGTTAGTCAGAACTGGTGTTTTGTTAGTCAGAACTGGTGTTTTGTTAGCCAGAACTGGTGTTTTGTTAGTCAGAACTGGTGTTTTGTTAGTCAGAACTGGTGTTTTGTTAGCCAGAACTGGTGTTTTGTTAGTCAGAACTGGTGTTTTGTTAGCAAGAACTGGTGTTTTGTTAGCAAGAACTGGTGTTTGTTAGTCAGAACTGGTGTTTTGTTAGCAAGAACTGGTGTTTGTTAGTCAGAACTGGTGTTTTCTTAGTCAGAACTGGTGTTTGTTAGCAAGAACTGGTGTTTGTTAATCAGAACTGGTGTTTTGTTAGTCAGAACTGGTGTTTGTTAGCAAGAACTGGTGTTTGTTAGTCAGAACTGGTGTTTTGTTAGTCAGAACTGGTGTTTTGTTAGCAAGAACTGGTGTTTGTTAGTCAGAACTGGTGTTTTGTTAGTCAGAACTGGTGTTTTGTTAGTCAGAACTGGTGTTTTGTTAGTCAGAACTGGTGTTTTGTTAGCAAGAACTGGTGTTTGTTAGTCAGAACTGGTGTTTGTTAGTCAGAACTGGTGTTTTGTTAGTCAGAACTGGTGTTTTGTTAGCAAGAACTGGTGTTTGTTAGTCAGAACTGGTGTTTGTTAGCAAGAACTGGTGTTTGTTAGTCAGAACTGGTGTTTGTTTAGCAAGAACTGGTGTTTGTTAGTCAGAACTGGTGTTGTTAGTCAGAACTGGTGTTTGTTAGTCAGAACTGGTGTTTGTTAGTCAGAACTGGTGTTTGTTAGTCAGAACTTGTGTTTGTTAGTCAGAACTGGTGTTTGTTAGCAAGAACTGGTGTTTGTTAGTCAGAACTGGTGTTTGTTAGTCAGAACTGGTGTTTGTTAGTCAGAACTGGTGTTTGTTAGTCAGAACTGGTGTTTTGTTAGCCAGAACTGGTGTTTTGTTAGCCAGAACTGGTGTTTGTTAGTCAGAACTGGTGTTTTGTTAGTCAGTTTGTTAGCCAGAACTGGTGTTTGTTAATCAAAACTGGTATTTTGTTAGTCAGTTTGTTAGTCAGAACTGGTGTTTTGTTAGTCAGTTTGTTAGTCAGAACTGGTGTTTGTTAGTCAGTTTGTTAGTCAGAACTGGTGTTTGTTAGTCAGTTTGTTAGTAAGAACTGGTGTTTTGTTAGTCAGTTTGTTAGTCAGAACTGGTGTTTGTTAGTCAGTTTGTTAGTAAGAACTGGTGTTTGTTAGTCAGTTTGTTAGTAAGAACTGGTGTTTGTTAGTCAGTTTGTTAGTTAGAACTGGTGTTTTATTAGTTAGAACTGGTGTTTTGTTAGTTAGAACTGGTGTTTTATTAGTTAGAACTGGTGTTTTATTAGTTAGAACTGGTGTTTTATTAGTTAGAACTGGTGTTTTATTAGTTAGAACTGGTGTTTTGTTAGTTAGAACTGGTGTTTTGTTAGTTAGAACTGGTGTTTTTTGTTAGTTAGAACTGGTGTTTTATTAGTTAGAACTGGTGTTTTATTAGTTAGAACTGGTGTTTTGTTAGTTAGAACTGTTTTATTAGTTAGAACTGGTGTTTTATTAGTTAGAACTGGTGTTTTGTTAGTCAGGATTGTCTCTTGACTTGGGGGTTTAAGCATCCGCTGAGTGGATGTACACCCTGGCAGTGTGTACACCCTGGCAGTGTGTACACCCTGGCAGTGTGTACACCCTAGCAGTGTGTGTGCACCCTGGCAGTGTGTACACCCTAGCAGTGTGTACACCCTGGCAGTGTGTACACCCTAGCAGTGTGTACATCCTGGCAGTGTGTACACCCTAGCAGTGTGAACACCCTGGCAGTGTGTACACCCTGGCAGTGTGTACACCCTGGCAGTGTGTACACCCTGGCAGTGGTACACCCTAGCAGTGTGTACACCCTGGCAGTGTGTACACCCTGGCAGTGTGTACACCCTGGCAGTGTGTACACCCTAGCAGTGTGAACACCCTGGCAGTGTGTACACAATAGCAGTGTGTACACCCTGGCAGTGTGTACACCCCGGCAGTGTGTACACCCTGGCAGTGTGTACACCCTGGCAGTGTGTACACCCTGGCAGTGTGTACACCCTGGCAGTGTGTACACCCTGGCAGTGTGTGTGCACCCTGGCAGTGTGTACACCCTAGCATGTGTACACCCTGGCAGTGTGTACACCCTAGCAGTGTGTACACCCTGGCAGTGTGTACACCCTAGCAGTGTGAACACCCCTGGCAGTGTGTACACCCTGGCAGTGTGTACACCCTGGCAGTGGGGTACACCCTGGCAGTGTGTACACCCTAGCAGTGTGTGCACCCTGGCAGTGTGTACACCCTGGCAGTGTGTACACCCTGGCAGTGTGTACACCCTAGCAGTGTGAACACCCTGGCAGTGTGTACACCCTAGCAGTGTGTACACCCTGGCAGTGTGTACACCCTAGCAGTGTGAACACCCTGGCAGTGTGTACACCCTGGCAGTGTGTAAAACCCTAGCAGTGTGAACACCCTGGCAGTGTGTACACCCTAGCAGTGTGTACACCCTAGCAGTGTGTACACCCTGGCAGTGTGTACACCCTAGCAGTGTGAACACCCTGGCAGTGCGTACACCCTGGCAGTGTGTACACCCTAGCAGTGTGAACACCCTGGCAGTGTGTACACCCTGGCAGTGTGTACACCCTAGCAGTGTGAACACCCTGGCAGTGTGTACACCCTAGCAGTGTGTACACCCTAGCAGTGTGTACACCCTGGCAGTGTGTACACCCTAGCAGTGTGAACACCCTGGCAGTGTGTACACCCTAGCAGTGTGTACACCCTAGCAGTGTGTACACCCTGGCAGTGTGTACACCCTAGCAGTGTGTATTCACCATCAATCTCTAGATAGAGGATGTTACATATCTCTCTCTCTCTCTCTCTCTCTCTCTCTCTTTCTCTCTCTCTCTCTCTCTCTCTCTCTCTCTCTCTCTCTCTCTCTCTCTCTCTCTCTTCCTTTCCCAAAACATTTTCAAAGCAGTGGAGAGAGTGATTAAGAAAGGTAAGATAATGATAGTGATGATGATGTTGATGATGATAATGATGAGGTTGATGATGATAATAATGATATTGATAATGATGATGTTGATAATAATGAGGTTGATGGCGATAATAATAATGATGATAATGATTATGATGATGCTAATGATGATGATAATGATGATGATGATGATGATGATTATGATGATAATGATGATGATAATGATGAGGTTGATGATTATGATGATAATGATGATGATAATGATGAGGTTGATGATTATGATGATAATGATGATGATAATGATGAGGTTGATGATTATGATGATAATGATGATGATAATGATGATGATAATGATGAGGTTGATGATGATTATGATGATAATGATGATGATAATGATGAGGTTGATGATGATTATGATGATAATGATGATAATGATGAGGCTGATGATGAGGTTGATGATGATAATGATGACGATGAGGGTGATGATGATAATGATGAGGTTGATGAAAATGATGATGATGTTGATGATGATAGTGATGATAATAATGATGATAATGATGATGATGATAATGATGATGATGATAATGAGTGATGATGATGATGGTAATGATGATGTCTATGGTAATGATGATCTCTATGGTAATGATGATGTTTGTGACGATAATGATGATAACGTTGTTGATAATAATAATAATGATAATGATAATAATGATGATTATAATGATAGGGGTGACTGTTTCAGGTTACTTATGGATGACTTACGTTCTGGTATTATCAACGTCTGTCACCATACTGCCGCTGCTTCTTATTAAGTTCAGTTACGTCAGAGCTTCTATTGACGCACCTTACCACTGAAACTCTGCCGGCGTCTCGGAAGACGTCACAAGAGGCTTCTCGGAAGATGTCACAGGAGGCGTCTCGGAAGACGTCACAAGAAAGGGTTCTCGGAAGACGTCACAGGAGGCTTCGGGCTTCTCGGAAGATGTCACAGGAGGCGTTCTCGGAAGACGTCACAAGAGGCTTCTCGGAAGATGTCACAGGAGGCGTCTCGGAAGACGTCACAAGAGGCTTCTCGGAAGATGTCACAAGAGGCTTCTCGGAAGACGTCACAAGAGGCTTCTCGGAAGTCACAGAGCGTCTCGAAGATCACAAGAGGCTTCTCGGAAGATGTCACAAGAGGCTTCTCGGAAGACGTCACAAGAGGCTTCTCGGAAGATGTCACAGGAGGCTTCTCGGAAGATGTCACAAGAGGCTTCTCGGAAGATGTCACAGGAGGCTTCTCGGAAGATGTCACAAGAGGCTTCTCGGAAGATGTCACAAGAGGCTTCTCGGAAGAGTCACAAGAGGCTCTCGGAAGACTGTCACAGAGAGGCGTCTCGGCAGACGTCACAAGAGGCTTCTCGGAAGATGTCACAAGAGGCTTCTCGGAAGACGTCACAAGAGGCTTCTCGGAAGATGTCACAGGAGGCGTCTCGGAAGACGTCACAAGAGGCGTCTCGGCAGACGTCACAAGAGGCGTCTCGGAAGATCACAAGAGGCTTCTCGGAAGAGTCAAGAGGCTCTGGAGAGTCACAAGAGGCTTCTCGGAAGACGTCACAAGAGGCTTCTCGGAAGATGTCACAGGAGGCGTCTCGAAAGACGTCACAAGAGGCGTCTCGGCAGACGTCACAAGAGGCGTCTCGGAAGATGTCACAAGAGGCTTCTCGGAAGACGTCACAAGAGGCTTCTCGGAAGACGTTACAAGAGGCTTCTCGGAAGATGTCACAGGAGGCGTCTCGGCAGACGTCACAAGAGGCTTCTCGGAAGACGTCACAAGAGGCTTCTCGGAAGATGTCACAGGAGGCGTCTCGGAAGACGTCACAAGAGGCTTCTCGGAAGACGTCACAAGAGGCTTCTCGGAAGAGTCAACGGAGGCGTCTCGGAAGACGTCACAAGAGGCTTCTCGGAAGATGTCACAGGAGGCGTCTCGGAAGACGTCACAAGAGGCTTCTCGGAAGATGTCACAGGAGGCGTCTCGGAAGACGTCACAGAGGCGTTCTCGGAAAGACGTCACAAGAGGCGTCTCGGAAGATGTCACAAGAGGCTTCTCGGAAGACGTCACAAGAGGCTTCTCGGAAGATGTCACAGGAGGCGTCTCGGAAGACGTCTCAAGAGGCTTCTCGGAAGATGTCACAGGAGGCGTCTCGGAAGACGTTACAAGAGGCTTCTCGGAAGACGTCACAAGAGGCGTCTCGGAAGACGTCACAGGAGGCGTCTCGGCAGACGTCACAAGAGGCGTCTCGGAAGACGTCACAGGAGGCGTCTTGGCAGACGTCACAAGAGGCGTTTCGAAAGACGTCACAAGAGGCGTTACGGAAGACGTCACAAGAGGCGTCTTGGCAGACGTCGCAAGAGGCGTTACGGAAGACGTCACAAGAGGCGTTGTGGAAGACGTCACAACACGCATCTCAACAGACGTCACAGTAATCTGCTGCAGAACCTCAACAAACGTCTCAAATGACGTCTCAACAGAGGTTCTGAAAAGATATCAATAGCAGATACGTCAATGGACGTCTCAGCAGGATTTTTCGAAACGTATCCTCGGCAGACATCTGGAGTAAAATCTTAAGCAGACGTCTCAGCAGGTGACTCTCTGCAAATTTCTAAGCAGACATCTCGGCAGGCGTTCTCAAAGGGGATTCAGGAGACCGTCTCAAAGGAGATTCAGCAGACCGTCTCGAAGATGATTTAGCAGACCGTCTCAAAGGAGATTCAGCAGACCGTCTCAAAGGAGATTCAGCAGACCGTCTCAAAGGGGATTCAGGAGACCGTCTCAAAGGAGATTCAGCAGACCGTCTCAAAGATGATTTAGCAGAGCGTCTCAAAGATGATTCAGCAGACCGTCTCAAAGGAGATTCAGCAGACCGTCTCAAAGGAGATTCAGCAGGCCGTCTCAAAGGGGATTCAGCAGACCGTCTCAAAGACGATTCAGCAGACCGTCTCAAAGGAGATTCAGCAGACCGTCTCAAAGGAGATTCAGCAGACCTTCTCAAAGACGATTCAGCAGATCGTCTCAAAGGAGATTCAGTAGACCATCTCGAAGACGATTCAGCAGACCGTCTCAAAGATGATTTAGCAGACCGTCTCAAAGTTGATTCAGCAGATCATCTCAAAGGTGATTCAGCATATCGTCTCAAAGATGATTCAGCAGACCGTCTCAAAGATGATTCAGCAGACCGTCTCAGAGATGATTCAGCAGACCGTCTCAAAGATGATTCAGCAGACAGATAAGATAAGATAAGATTTCGTTCGGATTTTTAACCCCGGAGGGTTAGCCACCCAGGATAACCCAAGAAAGTCAGTGCGTCATCGAGGACTGTCTAACTTATTTCCATTGGGGTCCTTAATCTTGTCCCCCAGGATGCGACCCACACCAGTCGACTAACACCCAGGTACCTATTTGCTGCTAGGTGAACAGGACAACAGGTGTAAGGAAACGTGTCGAATGTTTCCACCCGCCGGGAATCGAACCCGGGCCCTCCGTGTGTGAAGCGGGAGCTTTAGCCACCAGGCCACCGGGCCACCACCGTCTCAAAGATGATTCAGCAGACCGTCTGAAAGAAGATTCAGCAGACCGTCTCAAAGATGATTCAGCAGATCGTCTCAAAGATGATTCAGCAGACCGTCTCAAAGATGATTCAGCAGACCATCTCAGAGATGATTCAGCAGACCGTTTCAAAGATGATTCAGCAGACCGTCTCAAAGATGATTCAGCAGACCATCTCAGAGATGATTCAGCAGACCGTTTCAAAGATGATTCAGCAGACCGTCTCAAAGATGATTCAGCAGACCGTTTCAAAGGGGATCCAGCAGACTGTCTTAAAGGGAACTCAGCAGACCTCCTCAGGGGTTCTTATATGCTAAGCAGACATACCTACCCTCACCTCTCCTGCCTATCTTATTCCCTTCTTACCCTTCATCTTCCTTCTTCCTCTTTCTTCTCCTGTCCCATCCATCATTCTCGTGTCCCACTCATCATTCTCGTGTCCCACTCATCATTCTCGTGTCCCACTCATCATTCTCGTGTCCCACTCATCATTCTCGTGTCCCACTCATTATTCTCGTGTCCCACTCATCATTCTCGTGTCCCACTCATCATTCTCGTGTCCCACTCATCATTCTCGTGTCCCACTCATCATTCTCGTGTCCCACTCATCATTCTCGTGTCCCACTCATCATTCTCCTGTCCCACTCATCATTCTCGTGTCCCACTCATCATTCTCGTGTCCCACTCATCATTCTCGTGTCCCACTCATCATTCTCGTGTCCCACTCATCATTCTCCTGTCCCACTCATCATTCTCGTGTCCCACCCATCATTCTCGTGTCCCACCCATCATTCTCGTGTCCCACCCATCATTCTCCTGTCCCACCCATCATTCTCGTGTCCGACCCATCATTCTCGTGTCCCACCCATCATTCTCGTGTCCCACCCATCATTCTCGTGTCCCACCCATCATTCTCGTGTCCCACCCATCATTCTCGTGTCCCACCCATCATTCTCGTGTCCCACCCATCATTCTCGTGTCCCACCCATCATTCTCGTGTCCCACCCATCATTCTCGTGTCCCACCCATCATTCTCGTGTCCCACTCATCATTCTCGTGTCCCACCCATCATTCTCCTGTCCCACACATCATTCTCGTGTCCCACCCATCATTCTCGTGTCCCACTCATCATTCTCGTGTCCCACCCATCATTCTCCTGTCCCACCCATCATTCTCGTGTCCCACCCATCATTCTCGTGTCCCACCCATCATTCTCGTGTCCCACCCATCATTCTCCTGTCCCACACATCATTCTCGTGTCCCACCCATCATTCTCCTGTCCCACACATCATTCTCGTGTCCCCACCCATCATTCTCCTGTCCCACACATCATTCTCGTGTCCCACCCATCATTCTCCTGTCCCACACATCATTCTCGTGTCCCACCCATCATTCTCCTGTCCCACACATCATTCTCCTGTCCCACCCATCATACTCGTGTCCTACCCATCATCCTCATGTCCCATCCATCATCCTCGTGTCCCACCCATCATTCTCGTGTATCACCCATCATTCTCCTGTCCCACCCATCATTCTCGTGTCCCACCCATCATTCTCGTGTCCCACCCATCATCTCTGTCCCACCCATCATCCTCGTGTCCCACCCATCATTCTCGTCCCCACCCATCATACTCATGTCCCACCCATCATCCTCATGTCCCCACCCATCATCCTCATGTCCCACCCATCATCCTCGTGTCCCACCCATCATCCTCATCTCCCACCCATCATCCTCATGTCCCACACATCATTCTCGTGTCCCACCCATACATTCTCCTGTCCACCCATCATTCTCGTGTCCCACCCATCATCCTCGTGTCCCACCCATCATTCTTGTGTCCCACCCATCATCCTCATGTCCCACCCATCATCCTCATGTCCCACCCATCATACTCCTGTCCCACCCATCATCCTCGTGTCCCACCCATCATTCTCCTGTCCCACTCATCATTCTCGTGTCCCACCCATCATTCTCCTGTCCCACCCATGATTCTCGTGTCCCACCCATCATCCTCGTGTCCCACCCATCATTCTCGTGTCCCACCCATCATTCTTGTGTCCCACCCATCATCCTCATGTCCCACCCATCATCCTCATGTCCCACACATCATTCTCGTGTCCCACCCATCATCCTCATGTCCCACCCATCATCCTCATGTCCCACCCATCATTCTCGTGTCCCACCCATCATCCTCGTGTCCCACCCATCATTCTCGTGTCCCACCCATCATCCTCGTGTTCCACCCATCATTCTCGTGTCCCACCCATCATTCTCGTGTCCCACCCATCATCCTCATGTCCCACCCATCATTCTCATGTCCCACACATCATCCTCATGTCCCAC